TTTGTGAGTCAGTAGTATGCACAATCGGCTGCTGCGCTTTGCCCACAAAATATACAGTCAGTTCACTTTACAGTATATTCTGTAAAGTGTTTTGAGACGTCTCGATGACGCGATAAGGCGCTATATCAAATGCAAGGATTATTATTATTATATCCATTCCTCATCGCAGACCTTTATTACTTGTGATAGCAGTCAGTAAAGAGCAATCGTATTTGTAAGTGGACTGGAACTCTGGCAGAAGAGCTGAGCTCCAAATCTTTGTCCAGAATCAAATGACCAGATTTTTTAGTTAATTTTGACTTCAGAAGCAACACTACTTGCAACACCTGCTGAGAAGTTGGGCGAAGGTGGTGAATCCTTTATTTAGAAAAAATGAATGCAGCACCCAGAATAATTAGCCCGGGAAGAAATCTCACACCGACCTTCATGTTTACGAATGCTGTGAAGGAAAAAATATGGAATCAAATATGGAGCTCATCCTGATTTTCTGTTATTAACCAGTGGAAACGCAGGAGCTAAACTAGCACAGAGTTTTAAGAGAAATGGATAGAGGTAACGGTGCAAAAAGCAGCACAGACAGGAACAGTCTGGAGCCATGTAGAGCAAATGTAATTTAATTAGTGTTGATCGTGACTCCAGATCATTGTGATTTGATCAGGAATAATTTAGTACTTAACAGCCTCTTACATGCACTGAGTACATCTGGGAAGGTAAAGTAAATTGCATAAATTAAGGTCCCGCATTCATGTTCATTTGTGATTATTTGAGATCCCTGCCAGTCCTGTTTCAGATAACCTCTGAGCAGTCAGCTAGATCAACTCCTGAAGGATTGTGCAATAAACTTTATTTTTATTTTGAAATCCACAACCCAATAATTCTTGTGTCATTAGGGATGACTGGGCAGATGAATGGATTATTGATCCTCTTATCATCCAGGAACAGCAGCTCCAGCTCATACAGCTGGTTTATACCAATGGTCATCTTAACAAAATGCTCCTTTCAGTTTTATCTGTGCAATGTTCATCTTGATCTTTTTAGTGAACACCGGAAGAAATTGTCCTTTATTATTGAACAGAAGGTTAAAACTGAATTCTGCACTTTATAAAAATAGGTTATTTTGCTTCATCCCCTGCCCCCAATTGCTATCACAGACAGGGTCCAGATGGTTTGTGCCCAGCCTTTTTAATAGATCTGCACTTATTCACTGGAGATGCACAGAGGCAAGCTTGGATTGAGGTACACTATTCACCTCTCTACAAAGAAATTCCTGGACATCACCCATTCCCCCCCACCCCCCCACCCCCCTCCCCAACCAGCTGCCCAGCTGCGATCAGCAATTATCCATGTAGAAATCGCTTGTATAGGCTTATTTCACTATGCACCAATATACCCAATATGTTGTTTCACTGGCACTTAGCAGCCTACAATATTGTGAACCATCTGACTAAGGCCATGTGCAGCACTTGCAGGATATGGTCAGTTGCAAGTTGGTCTTCAGGAATGTCACTTCAAATAGGGTGGGAATCAAAACACTGGGGTTGCCTTCTCCCAAGCCACATCTCCTTCAGATTAATGCGCTTTACATTAAAATCCCGAGTACAGACAATTTACTTACCCCTATTATTGAGTGTCTGGTACAATCAAACTTCTCGAACAGAAGGAATTGAACTTTATCCCTTAACAAGCATGTGGGAAATGATTGTGAGCCTTGTTTTGGGTTCAGTTTGTACTCAAGCATACCTATACATAAAATAACAACAACTTGCACTTATATAGCACCCTCCAAGCAGGGTAGCGTCTCAGAGCGCTTAACAGTGGCGGAGCCTGACTCCGAGTGGGGAGGTGGCCGTAAGCAAGGTCGAAGAGGAAAGGTTTCAGGTGGGACTTGAAAGAGGGGAGAGGGGCCAAGGCAGAGGGATTGAGGAAGAGTGTTCCAGAATTAAACACTCTTCATACCTAAAGAAGACAAGGCATTCATTAAAATATGCCCCACACCCAAATCCTAATACACAAATCTAAGGCATACATTTCTGTTGGTCAGTAAAGTTAACAATTTTGGCAATGTGCTTGTGTTTGGCATTTCCTCATTCTAAATCCATCTCAGCAAAGCTGATAATTTTAACAACCAACATCCTTCCTACTTTTCATATTGTATATCGTTCTACTTGTGACACTTTTTAAATGACTTGTTAGTTGGTTGGACTGACAATGTCTTAACAATAGGAAGCAGAGGTGATTGTAAATGTTCCTTCTGAGAGTCAGTGGTTAGTTATCGTGTTCTGCGAGGCTCTGTTCTGATTTCTCTGCTCGTCAGATCATGCGTAACTGACGTGATAGGCACAACTTTTAGTAGTTATATCATTGTAATATTTGCTTTTAATACTAATCTCTAGGCAGGCTGCACTGGCTCCCTATCGCCGAACGGATCGATTTCAAGATCCTCACACTCGTTTTAAATCCCTTCATTCCCTGGCACCATCCTACCTCTCCAACCTTCTTAACCCCCCAATCCACAACCCGCTGCCTCCCTGGAGGGACAAGCTCTGACTACCTAATTCCAGAGAGCATTATATGCAGGATTTGGGTGTGATTATTCATCAGTCACTAAAGGTTTCCCATTGATGTGAAGTTGTGACCAACAAAACTAATCAAATACTATTTTGCATCTCAAGGACATTTGACTTAAATTGAGAATAGTTACTGCAATTTTAAATTAGATCACTGATGAGGCTACATTTGTAATATACTGTGCCATTTTGTGCATTCAAGAGGAATTAAAGCTTCGGAAAGGTTTAGAGAGAGTAGCAAGCTTGACTCTGGAGCTTAGAGTCTAAGGAGAGGCTTGCAAAGCTGAATTTGTTTTCAAAAACAAGGAAAAAATGAGGAGGGACATGATCCAGGTTTTTAAATCCCTGGAGGAATAGATGATGTAGATGTTAGTGAGCTATTTGACCTTTACAGTACAAATGAACATAATGGATATTATCTTAGAATTAAGAATAATTAAAGAGAACTGTGATTAGAAGACTTACTTCATTGATTATGTGAATAGATTCTATAATCCAGATAAAAGACACATCCAGGTCAAATAATCAATATTTACCTCTGTTATTTTTAGTTCCTAAGATATATATATTTTTGGCTGCTGTGCAATAAGGATCATAGAATCATGAATATTTAAGTAATTTACGCTAAATATTTAGCATTAAATCACTTGACAGCAGTGGTTTCATCAGCCTTGCTTCACTCTAGCTCCCCTACCTACCTGCCCGTACCCTCCGTTCCTCTGGCTCTGGTCTGCTTCACGTCCCCCGCCCCAACCGCCCTACCATCGGTGGTCGGGCCTTCAGCCTCTCAGCCCCCAGGCTCTGGAACTCCATCCCCCAGTGCCTTCGCCGCCTCCTCCCTTTCCTCCTTCAAGGCCGGTCTCAAAACCTTTCTCTTTGACCGTGCCTTCAGCTCCCCTCTTGACTCTCTTCCCCCTCCTCGCTCCCTCCCTTCCCTCACCCTGACCATTTCCCCCCTGCTCGGGTCATGACCCAACTGTGCAGCGCCTTGGGACGTCCTCCTGACGTGAAAGGCGCTCTATAAATGGAATCTTATTGTTGTTGTTGTTGTTGTGACCTCCCTAACTCATATTGACCTGTCTGCTCCGTCCACTCAGCGGACTCCGGCCTGCTCCATGTCCCCCACCATATCCACCCCACATCAGCGGCCGGGCCTTCAGCCTTTCTTCCCCCACGCTTAGGAACTCCATCCCACAGTCACTTCACCTCGGTCTCTCCCTTTCCGCCTTCAAGGCCTGTCTCAAGACCTTCCTTGTGCCTTCAATCACTCTCCTGCCTTCCACACCTCCTGATTCCAACTCCCAGCTTGGGTCCACATCCTTGACTGTCCAGCGCCTTGGGATGTTCTCCTGACATGAAAGGCGATTACAAATGTAGTTTCTTATTGCTGTTGTTTGCTATGAAATGTAAATCTCAGAAGAATTAACTATTTTGATGCTTCACATTTTCACCTCATGACCATTTGACCATGGCATTTAACTATTCATTGAGCTTTTGACTATTCATTGGCATTTTGCCTGAAAGCACAGAGCCGCTGTGGGTAAACATTGAGCTATCTTTTATTACCATTCATTTGCACTTGTCCTATCACGTCACCATTTCAAATGCAAACCATATTTATCCTATAGTACATTGTAACTATAATACAACCCAGAGACCACTTACCTCCCTTTCACTGGTGGCTTTTGGCAGACCTTATGCTCCATGTGTTTCTAGGCCTATTCATGGACTGCCCGGTCACGGGTCATTACCAGAACTAGGATTTGGCACTGTTTGTTCTTCTCTGATGCCCAGTGAAAGAAACAGCAGCGTTTTCCCCTCATCCAAAGACCAAATTAAATTGCTGCATTAAAACCATGGGACCTGGAGTTACAATAGAATTATTGACCCTGTTGGCTTTCACCCAACACACCCCCCATCCACCCCCCCCCTCCCCAATCCCAAATGGGGACTGCTTAACCTTCTCTGTACTTTACCGTTATGATTGAAATATGGATAGGGGAATTATGTGCATCAGTTCCATCACTTGGTGGTTCAACATGGCACAGAACAACGCCCTTGAATAGAAACACACTGCGTGGGATTGTGGAACTGGATGGAAAGATAGTGAATAACTGATGTATAGCAATACTGTTTTAAAATAACTGATCACAGAGTGAAGAGCTGGTGAATTCCTAAATTAGAAAGATTTTCCTTTTGGATCCTCGCATTTGATATCAAGCCTTATCACGTCATTGAGACATCTCAAAGGGCTTCACAGAATGAATATACTGTAAAGTGAATTGATTGTAGATTTTGTGGGTGAAACGAGGCAGCCAATTGGGCACAGCAGTGTCCCACAAACAGTTGTGGATTGAGTTACCAAATTTGCATTTTAAAGAGAATAGATATTAGTACTGACTGGGTTCTTGCTCTCTCTTTCTCTCATTTCAGTGGCTTTCCATGGCCTTCCTCTAAAAATCAAGAAGGAACCGCAGAGCCCCTGTTCCGAGCTGAGCTCTGCTTGCAGCCATGAACCACCTTTTAAATTCAGTTATGGGGAAAAGTGCCTGTATAATGTCAGGTAAGAGAACACGTCAGCAAGTAACTCTGATAAAGTTTCACACTATGGCATGTAGCTTTTGTAAATCAAACTATGTAAAATGTTGCTTCATTTGGGGTGAAAAATTGTGATCTTTGGTTTGTTAATTATCCCTGTTGTTAATTATCACATCGCTGATAAATGTGGGCAGTGAGACCAGACAATAACTGAAGACCATTGATACCCAAAGGCTGGCAGTGGACATGCCTCCTCCCAGCCAAGTCACACTGTTGGACCAGAAGCCATCTGTACAACCATTGGACTTACAAATTTTGGAGCGTTGGCTGGTGTGATCATTCAGTTTTTTTATTGAATTTAGCCACTGACTGACAAAACTCTAACACGAGCCCATAAGTCCAAGGGTTAGAGCAGTTTCGGGCCCAACCACTGCAAAGAAGTCAGGATGAGGCACCAATAATTTATTCAAATGACATTTTCCAAATTTCAGAGGAAAACCAAAGCCCTAGCAATCCTCATGGTCTGTGCCTTTAAACCAGTGTTAATTAAACCATCACAGGTTACAATTCTAACCCTATAGTTATCTTGTATAGCGAGCCAGCCAGCTGCTTACCTCAAGGACGTTTTCCCCTCAGAAGGTAAACTCATGTGCGATTCTCGCAGTTGTGTATGACATGATTTCTTGGTATGAGGTCACTTGGTTAGCATTTGTTTTTCCCTTAATGAAAATTATAGCCAGAGCAGTTTCCTCATCCTCAGTAGCAGCCACGTGTCCTGACACACTTTGGTTCCAGCTGCGCTGTACCTTGTGTGGCCCTTTTGTTTTGCAGATCAAAGATTTTGGCGTCAGCATTAATCTTAGGTGATCCTGGCCTGTACAGTAACTGTGTTTAATTGGGCCCTACGGTCCTTCCATCGCATTCTAATTAGAGCAAATCTTCCCGTTGGTACAGGTTTTAAACATTGGGGAGTCACAGAGACTCACGGTTAAATTTAATAGCACTATTGATTTTGTTGGGGATATTTTTCTTTGAGTGGTGATGGGGAAACTGAATTGGAGGAATTATAATTGTACAACTGAAAAAAGTCCTCGTATTTTTCGCTTAATTTTTAAAAAGTGTGGGAGGGTGGGTGGGAGGGGGTCCTTGATGGTGTTTTATTTTGAGGAAACAATAGCTTTAATTCAGTGTGCGTTACCAGTGCGCTGAGAATGGGTGGGTGAACAAGACTAGGTTGAGCCTTTCCATTTGTCTATTATCCTGAGCTATTTGTTCTGCTGCATTATAGCTTTTAAATTTTGCTGCCACATCTGAAACAGTACAGTACACAGCTTGGAGAGTATTTTTTAAGCATGCAACTGGGAGAATACTCTACACTGTACATGCTGGGTGAGCACTCTACTCAATACATAACAGGGAGATAACAACAACAGCATCTTGCATTTGGATAGCACCCTTCACTTAGTAGTGTGTTGGAATGCTTAAAGAGTATTCCACTCGGTACACAACGGGAAGAGTACTCTACAGAATAATTAAAGTTATAATGGCAGAATGTGAAGTTTGATGCTCTGCCAGTTCAACATAACCTTATTACAAGATACATTTAGCTTTCACGATAAAGAGTTGCATGAGAAGCACTTAAGTAATCTTAGATATTACTGATCTCCAGAGGACAAGACAGAAAAAGATATCGGGTTTTGTATTGGTTCTACTATCTGCAGTTTATCTCTTGTTTTATTTGCGGACTTATTTTGTTTCTCCAGTGCCTATGATCACAAGCCACCTGTAGGATTGAAGCCCTCTAACCCGCCAACCCCCTCCAGTACGCCGGTCTCTCCTTTGCACCACGGGTCACCGAATCCTGCTGCAACTCCCAAACCGGATCGAAGTTTTCCAGCACACCTGTCTGCCACCCAGGCCATCCCAGAGAATGGCTACCCAATGGACCATAGGTCAGGAAGTACACTGAGTCTTTTCCAATAATTATTTAGGTTTGTTAAGAATTCCCAGCTGCTATGTGTGCAGCTTGCTCAAAATAGAATTTTTTTTTCCCCTTACACCATTGTGTTTGGAAATCCTATTATAGTATAGCCCAATGGTTTGGGTGCATAAAACGATACCCTGTGTTATCATGAGGCACAATGTAAATTGGTTTCTCCTGATATCATTTCCTGTGTTGTACAGTGTACAATACAAAAATACAACGGAAAATGACATTTGTAAAGCGCCTTTCACGTCGGGAGGATGTCCCAAGGCGCTGTACAGTCAGGGAGCGGTCCCGAGCGGGAAGAAGTGGGTGGGGGATGGGATCAGGGAGGATGGAGGGCAGAGAGGGTAGGAGGCTGGCCGAAGGCACGATCAAAGAGATCTTGAGGCATGCCTTGAAAGAGGCAAGGGAGGGAGCGAGGCAAAGGGAATGTGGGATGGAGTTCCAAAGGGTGGGGGCAGAGAGGCTGAAGGCCCGAGGTGCCCCAGGCAGGGGACATGGAGCAGGCTGGAGCCTGCTGAGCGGAGGTACCGGACAGGTTGATAAGGGGTTAGTAGGTCGGAGAGGCGGGGGCAAGGCCAGTGGGGTATCACACAAGAAGTGCTACTGGTGTCACTTCCTGTGCAATGCCCATGCACTCTATGCACAGGAAGTATCACTAATGTTGCCTCCTGTGTGTTCTAACATGCAAGCTGTCAGAAAACCGTCCAGTCGAGACCAGAAGCCAAAGGTGTACCACATAGTACACCCATGCTATAAACAAGCTTGCACTATACAGGGGTGCATTCTAAATAGTAGGACTGCTAAAAGACTGTGAAAAAGCCTGCAATCTTTAGTGATCATCGTTTATTAAATCTAAATGTGTGAGTATTCTCTATATTCAGATGAGAACTCCTGCAACTTCATAAAAAGTATGAGAATGATCTACTAGTCATTTTCCTTTCTGGATGAGCACCATTGTGAGTTAACGTGAGCAGCCTAATCTTTGCTGCCTGCTTTTATCGCCACCGTCATCACAAAACATAAAGCTAGACTGAGAAATGGTCTGTCAGAGGGGTCTAATTAGCAGTGCAGTGTTTCTTAACAGATTTCTATATCAGATTCTAAAGCAAATAAGTTCGACAATTCCATACTTAATATTTAGGAATCCTGCTCAAGAAGTAATGTTGGGGTTGACCTGATGAATTGGAAGTTGGCCATTTTTTTGTATGGGAAGCTAGCCAGCTTTCTGTGTACGTGCAGTGCACAGTGAATGCAGAAGTTATTTGATAACTGGCAATTACGTCCTGATATGAGGTGAGTTGGGATTTTATGAACCCCAAAGACTCTTAAAAAATAATCCTTGCATTTGCTATAGTGTCTGTTATGTCAGGAAGATGTCTCAAAGTGTTTCAGAGGATATGCTATGAAATGGAGTGACTATATTTTTGTGGGCGAATGCAACAATCAATATCCTGTGAACAGCTATGAAGTCAATATCCTTATGTGAATATGGATAACTGAATGTAACTGGAAGGCGGTCATCTAATTGAGTTCAGGTGATGTCCGTAACATGTGAGTGCAAAGCTTGAACATATTTGAACTGTATTCAGAAGATTAGATTATTACCGAGAAATTATTGAGTTTTTTTTTGCAATTAGTTATTCTAAAGTTTAGAGGAAGTATTTAATCAGAATTGAGCCTGTATCTCTGCTGGCAGACTCTCAGTGTGAATATATCATCTGATATTTACATGGAACAATTAAAGGTTGTGGGATCATTTACTGAACATTTATCAAACCTTAATTTACAGTTCATTGAGAAGAAATTGAAGGAGTGGGGGGTAAGCAGGTCGGATGGGTAGGGAGATTCGAGGGCATGAAGGGATTTGAAAACGAGTAAGAGGATCTTGAAATCGATCCATTCGGTAATTGGGAACCAGTGGAGCCTAGCAAAGACTGGTGTTTTGTGCGGGAATAAAATGTTATGGCCTTTGAATTGTTCCCAGATATCCATCAGTCCATATATAATATTGTGTTACCAGTACTGTTGCCTCCTGTTAATTGGATTCCCCATTTCTCAAATTGCACTTTTATTCTACAAATATGCTTCAAATATGGACCCACTTTAATTTGTGTTCTGAATCGTAAAACGCTAGCAGTCATGTAATAATTTTAAAGTATCACAGTATGTACTCACCGAATCCCAGTAGTTACATGCACAATTTGATATGGTACTCAGCCAATGAAAATGGTAAAGTCCCAGACTTGATGCCTAATCTGTACCGAGTTTCTCAGCTAATGTTTTCTGAGTGTCTCTGGGACAGTAAGGTGGGGGACAACAGACAAAGGTTTCTGCTGGAAAGTATCTTGCATACCTTTGAGGTGAAGACAGGATTGGGCTTGCTTGCTATGCCCACATGCTTGAACTGTTTTGGTTAGTGTTTGAATTGCAGTGCTGCAGATCCAAAGAGGTCTTCCTTCCAAATTGCATTGCCTCTCCATGGTGAATCATCTTTTTCCCCCAACCCCTTTCACTCTGCATTATGGCACTTTGCATCACTAAAGTAGTGTACCACCCAAAAGATTCATTTGTGTTCTTTCTGCTTCAGGTCCCCTGCACTTCCCACCCCACCATTCGCGGTCGGGCATTCAGCATCACTGTGGAAACTCTATCCCGGAATCCCTCCGTCTCTCCCCTCTCTTCGATCGTGCTTTCGGTCATCTTCCCAGCGCAGCCCCCTCCCTCCTCCCCTTCTGACCCCAACTCGAGTCCAAAATCCCTGATTGTATAGCGCCCTGGGACGTCTTTTCGACATGAAGGGCACTATGCAAGTGTAATTTATTGTTGTTCTCTAAAGATGAAGCTTTATGAATTGTCTTGTAAGATGCCAGTGATGTGATGATGGCAGATGCTGATAGTAGCGATCTTTACCTGTTTATAATTCTGCTGTACATTTAACCCTAGGATCAACCACAGAGATTAGATTTTTAGAACCAACTGTTCCGTGAACTGAATTCTTTCCTTTAAGATGAGATTAAACAATGAGCAAACCTAGAAAGCAACAGTGTTAAGTTTACTCACTTTTAAAGCTGTATAGATTGCAGGTCCTAGTATTTTGCTAACAAAAAAAAGGGTACTCTACTCTTACATGACTCTTGTTCACAGTGACTGAAGTGTTGGCCTGTATTTTATATTCAGAGTACAAGTTCTGTTCCGTACAGTAATTGGGACATCCACTATGGCGTCCACTTTGCTGGGGCTCTCAGAGATGCCTTAATAAGAGGGTAAGATGTGCTTCATTCTTAACTGTGCTTTCCTGCTTCATGTCAACAGATTCCGGCGCCAGCTCTCGGAGCCATGCCATTCATTCCCTCCTCCTCATGGACTGCCAAGGGAGGGCCGTCCAATGTACCAGCGGCAGATGTCCGAGCCCAATATTCCCTTCCCCCCTCAGGGCTTCAAACAGGAGTACCATGATCCTGTCTATGAACACGCCGCTATGATCGGTGGCCCGACCAACCAGAGTTTCCCGCAGCCGATGATGATTAAGCAGGAGCCACGGGACTATGCCTATGATTCAGGTTGGTAGTGTTGCAGAACAAATGCAGAACATAGGATCCCATAGTAGCATTAGGGCATGAGCGGGGAGGAAGGGGAGCCCTCAGCTAGAGTTTATTGAACAACTGGCTGCTACTGTTACACATAAGGGATTGTTACCAGTCGTTTTCGGTCCCAGTGGAGCCTCAGCCTAAATCCATTATCTTGATGTGTTAACATTAGAAAAGTGCTCTGGCCTCGCATTTCTGCTCCTCCCTGTGCAGAAATGGCCAGAGATAGTGTGGTTATCAAAGCTAAATCCATTCATCAGCAGACTGTTTGTGGCTGTTATAGAGCTGCTGGAAGGAGTGGCTAACTCTTAATGTGACCAGGGAGTTGATTTCTACTAGTGCTGGCTGAATTCAGCTCTCCATTGAAGTCTTATTTTAAAAAGCGGAACCGTCCAAAGAAAATCCCCCGTCAACATGTGTGTGTGTCTTCACTGAAGGTTAAAAGTTTCATGGTATAAAGAGAATCTCAACGATGGGTAAATGATTATATCACCAGGTCATATAGAGGGAGGGTTGCACTTTTACTTTGTGACGGTGCTATGGTAGCTGATTTTAGCTGGGAGTGTTTGGAACATTGTAATTAACCTCAGTGCCTCTAAGTTAAAGAGAACATCAGATAGAATTCCCACTCCTGATCACTAGTGGATGGTGTGTGGATGTTTGGTGAGGTGAGGACCAGCTTGGCTTTGATTTCCCCCCCCATGCCACCCGAGTAATAAGTTACTTAGATGAGTTATTGGAGGGTGGCTGTCACAAGTTGGGTGCCTTCGTAAGAGGAGAAGAATAGGATAGGTGTAAAATTATACAAAGTGTACATCCTTTTTAAAAATCAAAACATTAAAATTGTTTATTTCTGTGAATTGCTTATTTAACATAGAATGCTGGCAACCTGCACCCAATGAGTTACTGAATGCATCTTGACAGATGTCAATTCAGCTCCCTCTCTCTGACCGTTGGATTCAGGAGTTCACTTGCTAAGCCACTTCTCAGTGGCACTTTGGTAACCTCACGCCTCCCCAATAGTGGTAACATTTTTGCTTTTTTCACGAACCTTTGACCATCATCAGAGTCTTGCTTTGACTGAGACCCTTGGCTGGGAGGAATGTGTGAAATGTGTTAAATTTCATATGATCAGTGTTTTATATGAATTTAAACTGCAAAAAGAATGTACACACAGAAAGTAATGCAATAGGCTGTAGGACCATAATACAATGATCAGATGACAAAATGGTTGTGGACTGGACAGCCTTCCCCAAACCCTAATGGTAGCATTAGACAATGAGACAAGATTCAGCCAGTGCCAGTTCTTTCATTAGCTGTTACGAAGGGATCTAGCAATTTGTTTGATCTGCTACAAGTGACTCGGATATCAAGCATTACTGGCAATAAAGGCTACTTTTATAAAAATAAGCTTACCTTCACAGCAGTTAAAAGAGGATTTGTCTCTGTATAAGCACATATTAAACTTTAACACTAATTTGCATAGTTCTGAAAATCCTCACAGCGGTGGATAGTTCTGAAGGTAAGTGGAACACTTTAAGCAAACATTACCAGGCACTATATCTATCCATTTTTGCAGTTGAGTGCCAAATTCATAATTTCACAAGAAAGTGTTTGAAGCAACAATTAAATTAGTTAAAAGCTGTCCTTCAAAATAGTGCACTTCTTTTCATTTTTGTGCATTTATAAACCACATTTTGCACATGTTTCTGAAAAGGGCAGGCTTTATCTAAAGTGGTGTTATTTAAACCTCTGTTTATCTTTGTTTGTAGTGCAATTGACAGGCTATATGTGTTGTTGCATATTTGCAGGGATATTCTGCTAACTGAAGGGAACTATAAATACAAGTTGCTGTTGTTACTGCAAATTCACAGAATTCCACTTCGCAGAATTGTATTTCTAAGAGTAGTGATTATGTATTTGTAGGCAAACACAACAATGCCTCACAAACAGCCATGAAGTGAATGACCAGGTTTATCTGGGGGAATGTTGGCAAGGACACCAGGAGAAACTCCCTTCTCTATTTGAATATGACATGAGATATTTAATATCTGCCTGAACAGGCTTATTGTCTCAGAAAGACAGCATCTCTGGCAAGGCAACACACCCAACATTGCACTTGAGTAGCAACCTAAACTCTGAGCTCCCAGTCCCAACATGGGCTTGAACCCACAATCCTCTGATTCAGAGGCAAGAGTGCTATAAACTGAATCAGACTGACGTCTCAAATATGCATTTGTTAACTTTGTCAAAAACAGCCAAAATATAGCAGATTTGATATCTCCACAAAACCATGTTTAATCTGATTTATATCAGTATATATTTTAAAAAGACGCAATGAAGCAATTGTGATGCTCCTCTGATGATTTATTGGTAAAGGCATTACTGATAAGGCACCAGATCATGGAAATTTTAGAACCGTAGAAATTTACAACACAGAAGAAGGCCATTCAGCCATCGTCTCGCTTGCGAGGCGAGCGTGCTAACTGCTGCACTGCAGGATTCCACTGATCTCATTATCAAATATTTCACTGATCTCATTATCTTGGTGAGTCAGATGATCAACTTGATGCCTGCTTACACCAAAGATTGTACTTTGCCCTCAGGTGCCATGCTGTGCTCTGTGTCAGCCCAAAAATGCAAGCACCAAAGTCGGGAAGTGTACACACGTCACAGGGCGCTGTAATTGTACCAGCTCAGGGAGAAAGATAAAAAAGATCAAGTGAGTCCCAGTGTGGGTACTCCTATTTGGGTCACATTTAATCTTCGTGTTTCAAAATAATTAGGCTTGAAAGCCAAAGTAGTGTTAGTATTGCTGATATGTAAGGCACTTATGTAACTTCTTAGTATATTTTCCTGGAATTTTGTTGCATTCCTGAGAACTGCATCTTTCTAACCCCTTTGAAGTACCTGTGTAATGAGGAATTTATTGTAGGAAGTATACTCTCAAGTTTAATACACATGTAGATACGTACGTCTGTACATGTTTTTTTTATGCTATCATCCTAACTGCTCTGGTGTCACTGAATTGTAGGGTGATTGCACAGCATTTTGATTTGAGAACATGTTTGACATTGTAATCCGGATTTATTCTCCAGTTCCAGTGTTATGGGGTCAAATGGACACTGGCTGGCTTCCTAAACCAGTAATGGAAGGCTGAAGCACGCATTAGACCAATCATGCCAGCACTACTCAAGAGTGATTGATTCAATCTATCCCTTTGGGGCGTCGTCACAGAAACTCAGCTCCGGCATGAATGGAGCTTAGCAGCATTGAGTTTCATTCATAAAATGGAGGGAAGGGAAAAACTAGAATTCCCAGTTAGATTGGGCAGGGTGTGCAATTCTAGCAGCTGCTTCCTTTGCCAGATTACTTGATATGATCATTACTGCAACATGCATGCCCAGTGTAAACTGACACCATTCCCCTGCCTTTGTGCATAGCTAAAGCCTGCTGAATGAAGACGTCCCATTCACATTGTGAGGAGCTAACAGGAACTGGCTGGTCTGAATTCCATTCAAATATTTCTCCGAGCCACACCATTCTTCTGTAGGTTTCAGATTTCTCAGCCGAGCAACATTGAGGGAACAAGAGCAACCTCACATGGCAATGCAGGGAACTCTTTTACAAGTTGTCCACATAGAGATATTCAAGCTCCTTAAACAGCACCTTCCTAACAACACAACATTGCACACATATACATAGTGCCATTAAGTGCACTATATTATACTTCACGTTATTATAACCTCGTCTCTCCCTGTTTGAGCATCTCACCTTTCCCTTCATAAGAAAAAAATCATCAGATTTTATTGGCTGCAAAAACGTTCAGCAAAAAAAGCCTGTTGGTCTGCAGAAGACAGTAGGACCAGTGCCTTGAGACGTCCTCCCAACGTGAAAGGCGCATACAAATGTAATTTTGTTGTTGTTGTAGGACAGACACAGGGACTGTTTTCTTGGTCTGAATAGTTTTGACAGGAACAGACTCCTTGACTGAGGAGGTCATGTCCTCTCAGGCCCATTTCTTCCTCTGTATTGTGGGGGAGAGGGGGAAAAGCACACACAGTATTGATCCCTCCAGTTTATGCCCCAGTTTCACTTTGCTGCTCTTGTCATTTTGCTGTTAAATTTTGTGCCCCCAGTCATCAACCTTACACCAATTTTACTACTTAACTCATAAAGGTACACATACTTTCAAAGGCTTTTAATAGGGCCTCCTCAATGTTTGCTAGTTGTTAGCTTTATTATTGGGCATTAAAGACCTCCAGTAAAAGTGCTTTGTCTTGTTACCTGATCTCAGTCAGGGTAGCAGTGAAGGTAACAGCTATAGTGGTCTGAGTATCCCTGGGCTTTTGGTGGGGAAATCAGATGATTATAGTCCATCCCCATTCAATGACAACAGAAAGTTAGCACTTTCACGTTGGGACAATGTCTCAAAGTGCAGAAGCCTGAACTGCGAAGGAGCTGGGGAGGGGGAAGAGGTGCCCGAAAGCACAGCCAAAGAGGTAGGTTTTCAGGTGGGATTTGAAAGAAGATTTAATTGAGGCAGAGGGACTCCGAGAGAGAGTTCCAAAAGGAGGGGGCAAAGTGGCCGAAGGCTCATCTGCCAATAGTAAGGTGAAATAGACAGAGTGCATGAAGCAGGCTGGAGTCGGCAGCGCGGTGGGAGTGGCAGGTAGTTACAGGAAATCTCACAGTTAGGATGGTGCAAGGCCGTGGAGGACTTTGAAGGTGAGGATGAGGTTACATTTAAACAGCTGTGGAATAGGGAGCCAGTTGAGGATAGGGGCTAGCAGACCCTGGTGCAGGAGAAGTTACTGGATTCACTACTGTTTGTTTTACTCAGTTGGGGATGTAACACATGTGGAAACCCATCACCATACTCCAAACTAAATAGGAAGCATATATATGTGGATCACTCAGTATTTTGGTTTGAGCTGATCAAAATCAAAGCAAATTATTGAGCGTTCTACCTA